TCCGTCACTTTATTATCGCCGAAAGGTCGGGTATAAAAGGCTGAGTGACCGATGGTCAATTATCCAGTCGTTTACTTGCCTTGTAGCAAGACCCACCCGCGGCAGACTTGCGCTTGGCAGTAAACTGACTTCTCCCTTGTTTCCCGGGAGCTCGTCGTGCGGTTGGTGCGTCGGCCAGTGGTGTAATAGTCGGAGTGATTCTGGCATTATATCGGTCGTCGCACACGTCGCATCCTATGGGGTAATAGTCAGAGTCATTCCGGCATTACACCGGTTGTCCGACCGTCCGACGCAGCTCTCCCCGTCCCGTCAGTACGACCGACGTCGCGTTTATTTGTCGTTATTATTTACGTTTTTTTTTTGTGTTTTCTCTTATGTCTTAAAATCAACTTTTATTTACCGTTCATGTTAATAAAACATTTTTTGTCACTAGAGCGTTATTAAAACCTACCTAGTCACTATCACCTACAACCTACAATCCTAAACATTTGGTCCTTCGAACCGGATACAACAGAACAAACCAAGACCTCACCAGAAATCTACCGTCTTCTACATACAGTCCACTCAACTTGCATCGCTTCATATCAAAATGACTATGCCAGAGTCAATCAAATACGTCGACGCCAAGGCTCGAGTAGTGCGAGCATTGGCCACCATCACGAGGTTCACAAAGGCAACGAATGAGTATCTCGCCGAACAAACCAGTACCAGCAAACGGGCAAAGGTAGAAACCATGCTGTTAGAACTGAACAGTCTGCGTGCCCGAGTCGAAAAAGACATTCAAATCATGGAAACTGCAGTGGGATCTAAAACAGCGCCTATCGACGTCACTGATAATTCTTGTAGCACTTCGCTAAGTGATTCATTCGACCAACTCTATTATGATCTTATAGCTATGGCTCACATACATAATATTCCATTGGCTAAACAAGTCGAAATCACGCAAACGTTCAGTAACCAGACCACTCAATCCGGGAATTCGTCGTTGTACCAACTGCCTAAACGCAAGTTTCCCACCTTTTCCGGAAGTCTAAAAGAGTGGCAAGGTTTCGATGATTTGTTTAACTCAATACTGTCTCATTCACCAGAACTTCAAGATGTTGAGAAATTTGAGTTTCTAAAAAACAGCACTAGAAGGAGAAGCTCTTTCCCTTATAGCGCATCTTGCGTTGACCTCAGCCAATTATCAAAGTGCATGGACGATCTTGCGAAGCAGGTACGGGAACAAACGTGATTTAGCACGTATCCATTTAGACGCACTATTGGTGCCTCAAAAGGTTACTTTTACCAATGCCGGCTCAATCAAACACATAATCAACATCATTCAAGAACATACTGCCGCATTAGACAACTTGAATTTTGTCACTCGCCAGTGGGGGCCAATTTTGGTTCACATATTCGAACAACACCTGGATTATGAGTTGCGGTCTCGCTGGGAGTTACGGGTTGGCGAAAATCATGCTCCCACGGTAAACGAATTTGTGGACTTCCTAAAAAATCATATCCGATCGGCAGAAGTCCATCCGTCTGGTTCTACATCAACAAGTAATGCCATGAAACCATCCTTCAAAAACCCCAGTTCAAGAACTAACCATCGTCAATCGACCAGAGTTCTAACTACAACTGTTGCACAGACGCCCAGCACCAAATGTGCATTATGCAAAGCGGTCCATTCAATACGTCAATGCCCAACGTTTCTTAAGGACTCTCCTACTGAACGGTTTCAAGTAACAAAGTCGTTAAATCTCTGCATAAATTGTTTAGGCGCTGGTCACTCGTCAACATCATGTCCCTCAAAAAACACGTGTAAATCCTGTCGGAAACATCATCACTCACTACTTCATTTCCACGAAAAGATGCCATCAAGTGACGATACTGTTCCGCCAACCTCAATGGTAACGACACATCCTCGACCACGATCTGTTCTACTATCAACCTTACTGGTCAATATCTCGTCGATAAACAAGGAAACCTATACTTTCCGAGCACTATTGGACACCGGATCCCAGGTCAGCTTTATAACAAAAAATTGTGCTGATCGCCTGTCACTAACTCAACGCCGCTGTTCGTCTAAGGTAAACACTTTCTCCGGGACGTCAGTAAACGCAGTGTCTGGCATAACATCAATCGAGCTGGTACCAGTGGGTAAAACTGAGCCCGCATCTCGCTCGATGTCTTTGTGGTTAACAAAATTACCGATGCAACACCGCAGTCAAGTCTTTCGTTCACTTCATGGTCTCACATCAGCAACTTGGAATTAGCAGATCCGACGTTTCATCTATCTGGTCCAGTTGACATCTTATTAGGAGCTGATGTCGCACCAACCATACTGACTGGCACCCGCGTCGCAGGGCATCCATCAGAACCAACAGCCTTTGGTACCATATTTGGATGGATTTTGATGGGACCAATATCACAAACATCCAACAAACCGGCTACCTCATTGTTAGTGACCACAACCGAAACACTAGAACAATCGATAACACGGTTTTGGGAGATGGAGGAGGCACCAAAGATCCAACACCTTAGTCCTGACGAAGTTCAGGCGGAAACCATCTTTACATCTTCAATAAAACGCTTAGCCTCTGGACGGTTCAGTGTTGCCATACCATTCAAACATCCGCGTCCATTACTTGGAGATTCTAAAAGTGGAGCGCTTAGAAGATTTCATGCTCTCGAACGGCGTCTGTCTCAAGATCCAAATCTGGGCAGTCAATACGCAGATTTTATGCGAGATTACTTAGAAAGTAAACACATGGAAGTGGTTCCTGCAAGCAATAAAATTACTCCGTATTGCTATTATATACCGCATCATTGTATCCTTCGTCCGGAAAGTCAAACTACAAAACTTCGTGTAGTTTTCGACGCCTCAGCTCGAACTACCACTGGGCAGTCATTGAATTCCAGCGTGTACACAGGGCAGAAGTTACAGCAGGAGATGATCCAAATTTTGATTCGAGCTCGAGTAAATAAATTTGTATTCACTGCAGATGTTAAGCAGATGTATCGACAAATCCAAATCCATCCAAACGACCGAGACTATTTGCGCATTCTTTGGCGCTTTAAATCAGACTCACCAATCCAAGAATATCGCCTGTGTACAGTCACATATGGAACCTCGTGTGCTCCTCACCAAGCCTTGCGTACGATGCAGTACCTGGCGACAATGGAAGAGTCAAACTTTCCAATTGCTGCTAACGTGCTGAAGAACGACATGTTTGTTGACGACATTCTTACCGGCGCCCAGTCAGAAGAAGACACACTTTTCTGTCAACAACAGGTGATTGCTCTGTGTGCTCAAGGGAAATTCCAACTGAGAAAATGGGCTAGTAATCTACCCAGCGTCTTGCAAGCTGTGCCCGCCACTGATTGTTCCATGGATCCCGCGGTATTGTTTGACGACGACGGACAAGCAATACTCAAGATCCTCGGCATGCATTGGAACCCTAAGCAGGACTATTTTTCATACAATTATCATAGTCCGAGCCTTACGACCACAAAACGTTCGGTTCTATCAGATATGGCACGTATCTTCGACCCATTAGGTTTCTTGGCACCTGTTATTTTCCTGGCCAAATATGTAATGCAACTATTATGGACGTCCGGAATTGGATGGGACGATCCCGTTCCCGAGCAAATATTAATGATGTGGAAACGGTATCAACAAGAGCTTAAGTGCATACAGACATTGACTATCCCTCGTCGGATCACGTCGGATGGACATTCATCGTATGAGTTACATACTTTTTCCGATAGCTCCGAAAAGGGATATGCCGCTGCAGTTTATCTACGGTGTAACAATGGTTCCATGGTCCAATGCTACCTCATCACAGCAAAATCGAAGGTAGCCCCCCTTAAACGCGTCACCATTCCACGTTTGGAACTCTGCGGCGCCCTACTCGCCGCAAGACTGTTGCGCTCAGTACATGACATTCTCGTCTCCATCATCCACATCACTGCAATGCATGCGTGGACCGATTCAACCACAGCTCTAGCATGGATAAAATCGTCACCTCATCGATGGACAACGTTCGTTGCCAATAGAACAAGCCAACTACAGGAACTCACACCACCATCCATTTGGCGTTATGTTCCCACGAGTGACAACCCTGCCGACTGTGCCTCAAGAGGACTCTATCCGTCTGAAGTTCTTCATCACCCACTCTGGTGGACTGGTCCCAGATTTCTCTCTCAGAACCCCAATACATGGCCACCAACAGCTACCCACAATGACAGTGATGCAACAAATTCAGAAGAACGTAAAACTACTCTAGTAATAACTATCAACCAGAATATCTTCGAAGAATTGTTAAACAAGTTCTCATCACTCTCTACAATCATACATATTGTCGCGTACTGTTCAAGAGTCTTCAACAAATCCAACCCAAGCACCATACAGCTGTCTCCTTGTGAACAAGTAAAAGCCCTGAACCGGATTATTCAAGCAGTGCAAAGGCAATCATTTCCGGATGACTTCGCACAACTAAGTAGTCACTCCGGTACTGGCACTAGTAACCTACGAAAGCTCAGTCCATTCCTAGATGAACAAGGAATCATCCGTGTGGGTGGACGACTAAGGCATGCAACCATTCCATATGAACAGAAGCATCCAATCCTTCTGCCACGCTCCCACCGACTAACGAACCTGCTTATTGACGATTTTCATCAACGGCATAAACATCCCGGTGCCACAACGCTGCAAACAATTATTTCACAGCAATATTGGATAATATCTAGTCGCCAAATTATTAGATCAAGATTAAGGCGCTGTATTGCGTGTTACAAAACACGCCCACGCAATTCACAACCCGTCATGGGTGACATGCCTAAGTATCGGTTGCAACAGATAAAACCATTTATGGCCACAGGCGTGGATTACGCCGGTCCAATAGTATTAAGATCTTCAACCACGCGGCGAACCGTGCCCAGTCAAGCCTACATCTGCCTCTTTGTATGTATGGCAACCAAGGCATTACACCTGGAAGTTGCCTCTGACTTATCAACGGAAACTTTTCTGATGGCTCTGTGTCGATTCATCTCCAGACGCGGACCAATTAAAGAAATGCACAGTGATTGCGGAACCAATTTCACAGGAGCGGCTAAATTACTCCAGCCTGTCGATCAATTCACCCGTTCCAAGGAGTATCAACACCAGTGTCAAGCTTACTTAACAGCTCGGAACATCCGTTGGCATTTCAACCCCCCGTCCGCTCCTCATTTCGGAGGATTATGGGAAGCTGGGGTCAAGTCCGTAAAAACGCTACTTTACCGAACTCTTGGGCTTCAACGACTGACATATGAAGAACTGAACACATTGCTGAGTCGTATCGAAGCTACATTAAACTCTCGTCCGTTGGGTGCCTTGAGTTCAGATCCATCAGACTTTGAGGCCCTCACTCCGAGTCATTTTCTCACCCTCATGACTAGTACCGCAAATGTTGAACCCAACCTGGATAATATTCCTTTATCTCATTTTCAGAGGTGGAGACTGATCAAGGACCTCCACACCCATTTCTGGAAAAGATGGCAAAATGAATACCTACAAACTCTCCAACAGCGTACCAAATGGACAAACCATAGTGACAACTTGACACCCAATATGTTAGTCCTAGTTCGAGAGCCCACATCTCCACTGCTCTGGAAACTCGGACGGATTCTCTCGTTGTCTCCCGGTCAGGATGGGATTGCTCGAGTTGCTACTGTTCAAACCACCACCGGAATCATTAAGAGACCAATTGTGAAGCTTTGTCCACTTCCAGTCTGTTAAATGCTGGACGCATTCAAGGCGGGCAGGATGTCTACGCCACCCGTTTCTTTTCCATTATTACTATTATTCTTATCTAATATAAAATTGTATCCCCGACGTTTCGGCGATAATAAAGCGGCGGTTTCCGTCACCGAACACGAGTCCTACCTGACAAAGTTCGGTACAGAACACGAGTCCGTCACTTTATTATCGCCGAAAGGTCGGGTATAAAAGGCTGAGTGACCGATGGTCAATTATCCAGTCGTTTACTTGCCTTGTAGCAAGACCCACCCGCGGCAGACTTGCGCTTGGCAGTAAACTGACTTCTCCCTTGTTTCCCGGGAGCTCGTCGTGCGGTTGGTGCGTCGGCCAGTGGTGTAATAGTCGGAGTGATTCTGGCATTATATCGGTCGTCGCACACGTCGCATCCTATGGGGTAATAGTCAGAGTCATTCCGGCATTACACCGGTTGTCCGACCGTCCGACGCAGCTCTCCCCGTCCCGTCAGTACGACCGACGTCGCGTTTATTTGTCGTTATTATTTACGTTTTTTTTTTGTGTTTTCTCTTATGTCTTAAAATCAACTTTTATTTACCGTTCATGTTAATAAAACATTTTTTGTCACTAGAGCGTTATTAAAACCTACCTAGTCACTATCACCTACAACCTACAATCCTAAACATATACATTTTTTGAATTTGGTAAAAAAAAAAATATGCTTTACTTTATATTTACCTGTAACTTGGGATATTGCTTGTTGCACTGCCTCCTGATCGGCTATGGCAATATGTTCTGAAATACAAAAAATTACTATTTAGGATATTTTCTTATGACAAAAATTATAATATATTAGATTAGTAAAAACAAAGTTCCCGTGTTAATGAAATAAAAAAAAAATCACAATGTACTTAAACAAATAACGTATAATACATGCAGCTAAATTACCTGGTAAGTTGCTCAAAAATGAGTCATCTGAAATTAAACAAACTATATGTTACCAAACTATGGGGATAATTAATTATATGAAAAGATGTCAAACATTTTTTTGTATATATTTTTAATTCGTAAATTCACAACAATAAGTAAATTTGAAGAGCTAGAGATCTAAAATCTAAGTAAGTTTTGGAGAGATTACCATCATTAGATTGTGTGAGCCATAAGAAAAACAAAAAAAGCCGTAATTATATCGTTATATAAGGATCTATGTAAAGTATTAGTAGTAAATAACAATTGGTTACCATGTTCAATTGAAAACCAGTAATTAGCTTTGTCTGAAATTAAAACGAAAATATGTTATGCCCAAATAAGTTATTAATTATTATCAAGCAGCTATGTGGAAATACGTCCAATAAGTGACAAAAAATTGTATTACCCGGTATAGCTAACATCACATTAAGTGTCTCTGAAATAGGAATAATAAAAATTGATAAGTTAATGATGTTCAATTTTTCTAAAACACTATCATTTTATCACATTTTTCTAGTAGCAATCTATGTTTTAATTTTTTTTTTTTTTTGTTACATAATAATGATTACCGAACGTTTTATCTCCATCAATAATATTTGAAATTGCAGTCTTCAATATAGCAGGATCTATAAGCAAATAGTATTAGAGCTATATACACAATTTCAAATGAAATCAAAATAATATATAGAATTATACATACAAACATTCAGAATAAGAATATACTTAGCTTTAAGGTAACTATTTAACTTTCCTCTACTCAACCGTTTATTTGAAATAGTAATTTTGTAAAGCCCCAAAAATGTTCAATGTAAATTTTAGGAATTTTACTCTTTTAAGTATAAATATAATTGGTTCGATTTTCTTTTTCATTTTAGTATTTATACAGTATTATTTGGTATACTGGTAGTATATACCCCTTTAACTCATATTCTGAACTGATATAAAAAAAACTATAGCTTGTTGTTAATTTATATATCATCTGAAAATAATAATATATCTTACCTCTATCAAAAACCTCTTTGATGTATTTGTCTGTAATGAATTATTTCAAACTTATGTATAAATATGATAAAATAAAAAAAATGTCCTACCGTATGAAAATTTAATACTGACTTGTAGTGTGAACCGAATTTGCATAGTCCGCTATGAGAAATAATTAAATATTGAATTTTCTATTTAGTTTTTTAACTACCTTAAAAAGGTATGTGGAAAAATTAAATAATTACCTGTCATAATTGGCGCAACGTTTACAAATGCTAGCGTTATTAAAATGCAGAGAAGCTTCATAGTGCCGGATAATATTATTGAAACAATTCAAATAATATTACTTATAAGAAAATATGAATTCTAAAAACTTGTTTTACTTTTCAATGTTAGAGTGATTTTTCTTGCAACTAGTCGTAAGGTCGGTGTGTCGACGTGTAAACCAAATGAGTGAAATAAAAATATATTTTATAGTATGCACAGCGCTATAATAATTTATAAAAATCGTAATTGACATTTATTGTTTTCTTAATAAAACGTAAAAAAAAAATAACGTATACAGAGTGATTTTATATTGTGGATAATTCCACATATCACTGTGTTTAATCAATAGTTTAATATTTTTTTTTAATAGTGTATTCATATAATGTAATCTGAATTTTCCACAAGTGTTATTATCTCACTTTCCTTAAAATTAGGTTTTTTGATAGCAACTTGGACCAGTAAAAATTGTTAGTATTTTATTCTCAAATATAAAAGTGAATAAAATGTATGCGTTACCATTTAAGTTTTAAAAGTGGATCTGAAAATAATCAGTTTGGAAAGAGTTAGGAACATTATCATTATAAGGAAATTGTGGTCACATTATTTGAAAACACTATGAAAGAATAATTCAATTATTAAGTAAACCCAGTGAGATTTTGTATGGCCCATAATAAAAAAACGACCCTGTACATATGTGTTACATTTTTTTATTTATTGCTTTTAAATTATTCTCGAATCATATTTACTTTAATACAAGTTTGTGTACACAGATGTGTTCATATTTTTTTTTTTATTCACACCATATAATTGTTTTTTCAATAAAATATATGACATTTTTAATAGAATCCCGTGTACAGTTTTTAGATAATACCTACGTGTTACATTTTCATTTGTACACGTTCTATTTTATCACATTTAACAAATATCGTATCGACTATGTGTACTTATGTGAACGTCTGAGACGACACAAGATTATGGTAGTATTTTCACAACGTGTCGAAAACAAAGCTTTTTTAAATAAATATATTGTTGTTTGCTTTTGGCCAAAACTGCTATTCTATATAGTACCTTCCTTGTATAAATTTGAAAATGTTAAAACGTTTAACACTATTTTAATACTAATTCACTTACACAAAAATAATGACAACTAATAATTGTTATCAATGATAAGTCAAACCAATTGTAATAATGAAATACATAGTAACTTAGATCTCCGTGCATAAATTCCAACTTAAATAATAATAATGAGCCAGAGGTTGTCCATATCCAAAAAATAATTTACCCTTGCAAACATTGTACTATAGCACTGTTTTAATTAAAGACTTGGAAGCTTTATGTTATTTGTTTTTGGTCACACTACCATTCTTTGTAGTACATTACCTAAAGATATTTTAAAATTTGAAAATACTTATCATTATTTTAGTACTATTCCACATACACAAATAATAACTACAAATAATTGTTATTATTACTTATGATAAGTCAAAACTATTATGTTTAGCAAAAACATAACCATTTTTATTTCCGTGCAAATTCTCTTTATTTTGTTAAAACTTCTATAATATAACATTTAATAATTTGTTTAAGTTACATTGTTTGTACTTACACCGTACTATGATTTTTATACGTTTCATTATATTGAATATTATTAATTAAATATTTCAAAAAATGAGACTTTTTAGAAAGATAGCATGTTGTCTAATAGTTTGTTTCAATTTTTGTTAAGGATTTTATTGCGTCTGGCAAAGCAGTTAAACTTCAGAGCTAAATTTAATATATTTTCTTTTCAGTTATTGGTTATGGTGGTCGGGTTAGGTTTTGGTGGGTTAGATAAATCTAATGTTTGTTTTTATACATTATCAATAGTTTGATTGAATGTATAATTAAATCGATATAATACCTTGCTATTTTATGTTATATAAGAATTTATAAATTTTTTTTTTATAATTTTTGAAATTATTCATAAATTTTTTTTTAAGATATAAATAAATGTTGTTTAGTATAAGTTGTAAGCAATAATTATATGTGTTACACTTAAGGAATCTAGAAAAAACTTAAGCAACAAATGTGATTATATTTTATTATAAAATAAAATATAGTGTAGAAAAAGCTATTACACTTTTAAGTTACTGCTTTTCAAAGTCATTTTCAACATAACATTATTCGAATTTGCCTTTTATTCTGGACTGTGTGAGCGCTTGTTACAACAGCTTAGAAAATCGTGGATTCTATTAATATTAAATCATAAGCTGACAATATTCTCTAATCAGTTGCACCTCTGTAGGATTGGCAAACACAGATTGGTTATGTGCTACGTTTCAAATGGTATAATGTTTGATTATTCGTAAAGGAAGATATATAACATTTTTCATAAAATACTGTGTACAAGTAAATGCATACATGTTACATAGTCATTTGTACACATTTTTTTAAAACTTTAATAACAGCTATCTTATCGTCTATGTGTACCCATGACAATTTAAAACCTCTGGAATTCCACAACATTTAGTTATTTCATCCACGTGATAAAAAAAGATGTATTGAAAAAAAGATTTACCACAAAAGAAAAAAAAGGAAATATAATTATGTTGTTTGTTTTTGGTCACACAATTATTCTGAATAGTAAATGTCTTAATTATATCTTAAAATTTGATAACATTATTTGAATACTGTTTTTGTGTATGAATTTGGGTGTTCCATACTTCGAAGCAACCCTATTGAACGGCATATTTCGGTAAGGTTGGGGAATTTTGGTAAACCTTCATCTTAAAAATGATAAAAAATTTAATTTTAAAAACTTGTCAATTTAAGCTTAAATCTAGTTTTGTTTTTTGTAATAACACAACTAATACACATGCATAACCGAAATCATAAAAAAATAAAATATTACCCATATAAAAACACCCTATTTTATTTCACCTATTTTGGAATGGAATTTATTAAAATACGTTTAAGAAAGAATAAACGCAGTTTGCTTCAGATCTTTTTTTGAAGATATTGTTATGGATTTTTTTTTATTCTTTAATTTGTACTTATACAATCTCATAAAATTTAGAACAATGAGCTTAATAGTTGTAATATTTGCAAAGAGTAGATTGACAGATAGAACAAGTGTCTAGAAAAATCAACATAGGGTGTTGTGAAAGTTCTATGACTATTTGTATTTTCATAAAAAAACTACATTTGTGTGCTATCCTTTGGAGCGTAAAGTATACAACTATATTTAAGAACGCGACCTATTACATTAAAATTATATGAGCCTTGAAGGTTATTTTATTAGATTTCATAAAATAATAAGATGGTTGAAAAATAGAAAAAGTAGATATTGTATTTCACTTTCAATTGATAAATTAACAATTGAATTTGTAAAAAGTCGACTCTTGGACGAAGAAGCGAGAAAAACAAAACACAGGGATCAAATAGATGAGAAAAACCCAACAAAAGGTTACAGCTTTTGGAACTAAAACCGACAGTCGTTTTCATATTTTATATGTAGGTAAATTTATGAAGAATTTCGGAAGTGAAAAATATACTTAAATAGCAAAAAAAATTTGGAAAATGGGATTGCTTCTTATTTGGAGAAAAACTAAAGCTTTTATGCCCTGAAACTGAAGCTCTTATGAATATCTCATTGTCTCATACTATTTTGATGATGATTATACCTGTTTAATAGTTATAAAACGATCTATATAAAACGATCTATTAGAAAACAAATGTCAAGGGTTAAATTATTTCAGAACATATAAAGTAACGGTATATATATTTTGACTTAAAATTATCCATGCTGAGATGTGACAGTATTAATGAAACAATTCAAATAATAAAACTTATAAAAAAATAGGAATTCTAATATCTTGTTTTACTTTTTGTGTGATTTTTCTGTCGACGTATAAACCAAAGAAGTAAAATTAAAATATATTTTTCAGATGCAGAGCACTATAATAATTTAGAAAAAAAATAGCAACACTTGTGGTTTTTGTTATAAAATAAATAACTTATACAGGGTGATATTTTATCGCTGGTGACTCTAAATGTCACTGTGTTTTATCAATAATTATATATTTTTTTTTGATAGTGTATTCATATATTGTAATCTGAATTTTCCGCAAGTGTTAAAATATATTTTATAGTATGCACAGCGCTACTATAATTTATAAAAAACTTATTGTTTTCTTAATTTAAAAAAAATAACGTTTACAGGGTGATTTTTTATGGTGGGTAACTCTACATTTTACTGTGTTTAATTAATAATTTTATTTAATTTTTTTCATTGTGCATTTATATAATGTAATCTGAATTTTCCACGAGTATTATTTTCTCACTCTCCTTGAAATTAGGTTTTTTGATAGCAACTTGGACCAGTAAAAATTGTTAGTATTTTATTCTCAAATATAAAAGTGAATAAAATGTATGCGTTACCATTTAAGTTTTAAAAGTGGATCTGAAAATAATCAGTTTGGAAAGAGTTAGGAACATTATCATTATAAGGAAATTGTGGTCACATTATTTGAAAACACTATGAAAAATGAATTCAATTATTAATTAAGCCTAATGAGATATTGAGTGGGCAATGATAAAAAAATGACCCTGTACATAACATGTTCATTTTTTTTACTTATTGCTTTTAAATTATTCTCGAAGCTGATATAATTTTATTATAGAATTTTGTATACACAGATGTAATCATATTTTTGTAACTGAAATAGGATATTATTATTCTTTCAAGAAAATGTAATATATTTTTAGTAAAATATCGTGTGCAATTTTCGTATAATACCTACGTGTTACATTTTCATTTGTACACGTTTTCTTTTATCTGAGCGCACGGCAGTGCTCCGGCCAAGCAATTCTATTGTATCTTTGCACGAACCAATTCACCCAGTTTTTCTAACCCACATAAAACTCTGGTTTTTCTAAGATAAGCTATTGAAATTTTGAACATAGATTAAACTCATGTAGCTTAGGGCACGGTAAAAATATGAGCCCTTAATAGTCAGCCCTTTCAAAATAGGAGGATTTCAAATTTAGTATTTTTGTTACTGACTCACTCACTCATCATCAAAATTATAAGACACTTACCGTATAGGTAGAAACTTTTCTTTGAGTTTGTGTGAGCTCTTGTTACAATAGCTTAGAAAATCGTGGATTATATTAGTATTAAATCATAAGCTGATAATATTCTCTAACCAGATATACCATTTGCAAACGCAGATGTCTTATCAGTTATGTGCTACGTTTAAATGCTATATTATTTGATTATTTCTAAAGGAAAATATATAACATTATTCATAATATGCATACGTGTTACATAGTCATTTGCACAGATCTATTTAAGACTTTTAAAACAACTGTCGTATCGACTATTTAGTCACAACATAAGGTGCAATTAACTTTTTTAAAAATAGCTACAAATGATGGTCTGTTAATTGATAGTACCAGAACCAGTTATCTATCTCTTACAAAACATTCACATGTTCAACATGATTACCACCTACTGGTCTTACAGCAACAATAGGTAGGTTTTTGTTGAATTAATATTTCAATTCCGTTGTTTACACTGCAATGGACAGAGTTTCATAAAATCACAAGTGGTTAAGAGTATTATAATTCACTGAAAGAATTGTTTATTTTGTAATATATATTAAATGACAATTCAGACACAAGTGCGACACATAAATGTTATTAAATTAAAATAATAACAGTAGGTGCTATATACTTTTTATAAAATAGCTACGAATGATGGTTTGTTGAACGATAACTATAGAAATAAAACCAAGGGCTGAGTAGCTCACTCAAAACATCCACATATCCAACACGATTACCACCTACTGGTCTTACAGCAGCAATATAGCCGTGATGAGCTCTGTATTGGAATGTATTGCCATTTTGTGAAGTTAATATACATTCGTAGCCGGCTGGATCAACACTAGCGGTTTTTATGTACGTATCTGGGCGTTCCATACTTCGAAGCAAACCTATTAGAATGCATATTTCGTCAAGGTTGGGAAATTCTGGTGTTCCTTCATCTTAAAAATTGTAAAAAATTAATTTTTAAAAACTTGTCAATTTTATCTTGTATCTACTTTTGTTTTTTTGTTATACACACAACTATACACGTGTATAACCGAAATCATTGAAAAATAAAAACATTAACCATAAAAAAACACCCTATTTTATTTTACCTATTTCCAATAAAATTTATTAAAATACGTTTAAGAAAGAATAACCGCAATTTGTTTCAGAACTTTTTGACTTATTGTTATGGATTTTTTTAATTTATATTTATACGATCTAATAAAATTTAGAACAATAAGCTTAATAGGTGTAATATTTGCAAAGAGCAGATTGACAGATAGAACAAGTGTCTATAAAAATCAACATGGGGTGTTGTGAGAATCCTATGACTACTTATAAATAAACTACATTTGTAGTTGAAATAAAAGAAAGAAGGTATTTTATTTAATTTTTCGTTAATAATGTCGGACACATATAACAATATTGTAACGGATATAGAAACACTTTTAATTGATTAAGTAACAATTGAATTTGAAAAAAGTCGACTGTTGGTGAAATAGGTGAGAAAAACCCTAAAGTGTTACAGATTTAGGAACTACAACCGACAGTATTTTTCTTTTGAAATCTTATGTATAAAATAAAGGTCATATTTGATATGAACGTAAATTTATGAAGAATTTCGGAAAAGAAAAATATACTTGAATAGAAAAGCAAATTTGGAAAATGGTTTTGCTTCTCGTTTAGAGAAAAACTAAAGCTTACTGACAATCCAAGTGCGATATTTTGGTTCATTGATTCAGGTTGTTCAGATAAGAGAAAACTACTTCTACTCCATAAAGCAACTAAAAACTCCACTCAATATTGGTGTTACCAAAACGGAGGAAGTTGTGTTGAAATAAAGTTGATAATAAAGAGTTTCTATGCAATTATTTATTATTATATAATTAAAAATATAGTCCTAAAATGAGATGCGTCCAATCATCAAATAAAAATAAAACGGACAGTTGAAGTTTAAATTTGTATTTAAAAATATAATTGTAAAATTTTCCAACCTGATGGACGTATAGTAGCTGTGTGCAAAATAAAATAAAAAATATGTGTTTTATATTTCTCAAATCCATTTTGTATTAATACCAATAGTTTTAACGATACAAAAATTGATAACGGCTTGTTGCAAGAATGGAACACAAAGTGTGTGATAAAAAGTTTAATTTTGGGTATTGTTTTAAAAGATTTGGATCGACACTATACTGATCTACAAGAAAGCAAACGACGGTAATACTTTCTTAAACGGTGACCGAATATCAGCTGGTGTTAGCATCGGCTATTCAAGAATCTTTGTGGCTAAAAGTTTTACTAGTTGAGGTGTGTATATATTAAAATGTAAGATTGGTACATAAAGTAAAACAAGTGTAATTAAAAGTAAAACTAGTAAAAATCTACATAAAATAATATTTACTTATTGCTTCGATAAGTACATTTTTTGTAACTTCTCCTGTTATACGTCTTCTGGCTTCTCCAAGCTGTGCTAATGAATCATTCTCAAAATCTGCGAAAAATAATAAGTTAAAGTGTTTAAAAATAAAAAAATTGGTATATTGGCTTTTACGTCAGTTCATAAAGGCATGCTTAATGCTTACTTTCGTTCGGGCCAAGTTGAGGCACAGGGATATCTGTATAAAAAAAAAAAATCAATTAGTTTCTTCTAAAAGGCACACATTAATTTAGTGAAAAAATGTATACATTGGTTTGAAGAATATTTTAAAGGAAAATCAAGACTTGTATAAAATATCATAGTAAGATTTAAGAGTTTAAACTATTAAAATATATATTTTTCTATTTTGGTAAAAAAAAATATGTTAAACTTTATACTTACCTGTAACTTGGGATATTGCTTGTTGCACTGCCTCCTGATCAGCTATGGCAATATGTTCTGAAAATATACAAACAATTACTATATAAGATATTTTCTTATGACAGAAATTATAATATATTAGATTAGTAAAAATAAAGTTCCCGTGTTACTCAAATTAAAAAAAAATCACAATGTACTTAAACAAATAACGTGTAATATATACAAATAGGTTACCTGGTAAGTTGTTAATAAATGAGTCATCTGAAATTAAAACAAATTCATGTAATCAAGCTATGTGGATAATAAACTTAGTGGAATTGTGTTCGAGAATTTTTTTTTAAAAATATTTTTAATTCGTAAATTTACAAAAATAAGTAAACTTGAAGACATAATAATAGACACTTATAACATAACAGACCTCAAATAGGGGCTGTTCAACAAATCTCAAGACTAGTTTCTTTATAGACAACGATGGATATTGTCAGAAAAATGAACTACATATTTTTCAAAACAGAACTTTTTCAATGAAAACTTATTATTTTTCAAGTTAATCAAACACGAGGTACTATTTAGATTTGAGCTAGAGATCTAAAATCTAAGTAAGTTCTTTTACGGAGAGACTACTATCATTCGATAGTGTGAGCCATAGGAATAAGAAAAAAATACCGTATTTAGATCGTTATATAAGGATCTATGTAATGTATTAGTAGTAAATAACAATTGGTTACCATGTTCAATTGAAAACCAGTAATTTGCTTTGTCTGAAATTAAAACGAAAATATGTTATGCCCAAATAAGTTATTAATTATTATCAAGCAGCTATGTGGAAATACGTCCAACAAGTGATAAAAAATGTTATTACCCGGTATAGCTAACATCACATTAAGTGTCTCTGAAATAGGAATAATATAAATTAATGATTTAATGATGTTCGATTTTTCTATAACACTATAATTTTATCACTTTTTCTGATAGCAATCTATGTTTTAATTTATTTTTTTTTTGTTACATAATAATGATTACCGAACGTTTTATCTCCATCAATAATATTTGAAATTGCAGTCTTCAATATAGTAGGATCTATAAGCAAATAGTGTTAGAGCTTTATACACAATTTCAAATGAAATCAAAATAATATATAGAGTTATACATACAAACATTCAGAATAAGAATATACTTAGCTTTAAGGTAACCATTTAAGATTAGTCTACTCAACCGTTTATTTGGATCAGTAATTTTGTAAAGCCCCAAAAATGTTCAATGTAAGTTTTAGGAATTTTACTCTTTTAAGTATAAATATAATTGGCTCGATTTTCTTTTTCATTTTAGTATTTATACAGTATTATTTGGTATACTGGTAGTATATACCCCTTTAATTCATATTCTGAACTGATATAAAAAAAAACTATTGCTTGTTGTTAATTTATCTATCATCTGAAAATAATAATTTATCTTACCTCTATCAAAAACCTCTTTGATGTATTTGTCTGTAATAAATTATTTCAAACTTATGTATAAATATGATAAAATAAAAAATAACTAGAGTAGATTAAAAAAATAATCTAAAAATAACGTTTTTATGTGCCCTAAAAAGTATAAAGTAACCCTCCAGGGGTCCTGATAACCAAATAGGTGAACTAGAAAAACGTGTTGCGCATCTTTCTACTTAGATATTAAAACCTAAGCTTTCATGCTAATGCATTAAGTTGTCTCTCATAATGCTGTCTCTCTAATCGAACGGATCAGAATGTGATAGTATGACTTTTTATCGGAAATGAAATTTGATGGATTTTTATGCCACTTGCCTTAATTTTCATTGAAAATTGAAAAGACTTAATTGCTATTCTCTCCAATGTTTGTTTCATGTAGGTTGCTTCAATTTTTTGTTAACTACCTACTTGCTTAACATTTAAAGTAATGTGGTGCTCAATTTTACATGACATGTCATTAAGTATTATTTTATTTAGAAGAGAAAAGATGATTGGGCATGAATTATGAGTTAAGCTTGTTGATTAATGAGAAGACAATGTTGTATTATACATTCAGACGTGTGAAGTAGTAAAGATGCGCACCACGTTTTTCTAGTTCACTTGTCCTATTTGTTTATCAAGACCCCTGGAGGGTTATTTTAAACTTTTTAACGCGCATAAAAACGTTATTTTTAGATTAATTTTTTAATCCAATTTAGTTATTTTGTTCTTTTTCGTTTTTGTATGTACGTATACATATATTTTACATACAAATAATATTATTACAATATTATATAGTAAAATCCGTCCATGTCGTCTGTAAGTGAATTAGTAATCAATTTAAAAGCTTATAATTTTAGATTTACAACTGTAGAAATTATCATAAAAGTTGAAATTAAGTTATAACTACTATATAAATTGTCATAAAAGTTGTAAGAAAATGCAAAAAAGGGTAATGAAGGGAACAGGATTGAACCTGGTACCGCTCATGTCTGAGCACCGTTCACGCCCGAACGCACCACGCATAATTTTTGCTAGCAGGTGAGAAATAAGTCTTTTTGAATTGCAAGATTCCACCCGGAACGACAGACAAGAAATCGACCCCATTTTAACATCCTAAGGGGTAGAATTTTCTACCTCTTGTGGATTAATAATGCATTGTCATCGAATTGTGATCTACCCTGAAAGTTTCAGTCGGATAGCTAATCGGGAAGTGCTCGAAATTTTAGTTGCAACATTCTACCCGGAACGACAAACAAGATTGTGAGTTCATAATAACGTTATAAAAATGTTCTACCGTATGAAAATATTTAAATACTGACTTGTAGTGTAAACCGAATTTGCATAGTCCGCTATGAGAAATAATTAAATATTAATATTTCTATTCAGATAGTGTAACTAACTTGAAAAGGTACGTGGAAAAATGAAATAATTACCTGTCATAATTGGCACAACGTTTACAAAAGCAAGCGTTGTTAAAATGCACAGAAGCTTCATAGTGCCGGATGATAATATTATTAAAACAATTCAAATAATATACCTTGTAAGAAAATATGAATTTTAATATCTTGTTTTACTTTTCAGTGTTAGAGTGATTTTTCTTGCAACTAGTCGTAAGGTGTGTCGACGTGTAACCAAATAAGTAAAATAAAAATATACTTTATAGTATGCACAGCGCTATAATAATTTATAAAAAACGTAAGTAACACTTATTGTTTTCTTAGTATAAAAAAAAAATAACGTATACAGGGTGATATTTTATTGTCGATGACTCTAAATGTCACTGTGTTTTATTAATAGTTTTATAAATTTTTCTGATAGTGTTCATATGTTGTAATCTGAATTTTCCGCAAGTGTTATTCCTCACTCTCCTTGAGTATAGGTTTTTTGATTGCAACTTGGACTAGTCAAAATTGTTCGTAATTTATTCTCAAGTTAATAAAACGTATGCATTACCATTTAAGGTTTAAAAGTTGATATGAAAATAATGATTATGGGAGGTGGTAGGAACATTATCATTACAAGGAAATTGTGGTCACGTTATATGAAAACACTATGAAAGAATAATTCAATTATTAAGTAAACCTAGTGAGGTATTGTACGGCCCATGATAAAAAAACGATTCTGTACATATGTGTTACATTTTTTTATTTATTGCTTTTAAACTATTCTCGAATCTGATATAATTTTCTTATACAATTTTTTATACACAGATGTATTTATATTTTTGTAACTGTAATAGGATATTATTATTCTTTCAAGATAATGTATTATATTTTTAACAAAATCTCGTGTACAATTTTCATATAATACCTACGTGTTACATTTTCATTTGTAGACATCCTCTTTTATCTGAGCGCTTTTATACTTAATCTATTGTTTGCATTATACATTTTCAAAATTGAATATGTATGACAACATTGAAACATATGCGTCTGGCATTACCATAGTAAATGTGACAGATATGAAAGTTTCAATTGATATCTTTAGCCGATATCAGTCATAATCGGCAGACAGTCATTACAATCAACTTAAAAGAGTACTACGTTATGTTAAGGGTACTTCTCTGCTTGGTCTCATTTGCACAACAAGTGAAGGAGTAAGCTATTTAAAGAGATACGATGATACAGAATTCGTAAATGACGTCAATAATAAAAGATCCACTTTTGGGTAATTATTTAAAATTTTTGGATAATCCGACGGTAATACCGTCAGAGGCCGAGTAACTGGCGTAGCATCGGCTATACAAGAGTATATATGGATACAATAATTATAGCAAATCAAAGTTGTGTTATCTACATTATGGCTTAGCCGGTTTTATGCCTCATTCAGAAACTGGACAAGTGTTAAGCAATACAAATAAAGAACAGTGTTGCACATGAAAGTAGGTGTGAGGTGGGATTGTGAAGTAAAGAAATATGAGTCCTGGCCACAATATAGATATCACCACTTGTTTAAGCTGATTGTTTTGGGAAGGGGTCTGGAACTTAGCCCTTTTTTACTGTTAGGTTTTTGTTGAATTAATATTTCAATTCCGCTGTTTACACTGCAATGGACAGAGTTTCATAAAATCACAAGTGGTCAAGAGTATTTTATAACACTGAAAGAATTGTTTATTTTGTAATATATATTAAATGACAATTCAGACACAAGTGCGACACATAAATATCATTAAATTAAAATAATAACAGTAGGTGCAATGTACTTTTTATAAAATAACTACGAATGACGGTCTGTTTAATGATAGTACCAAAACCAAGGAGTGTACATCTCTCAAAACATCTACATTTCCAACGCGATTACCACCTAGTGGTCTTACAGCAGCAAAAAAGCCAAGATGAGGTCTGTATTGGAATGTATTGCCATTTTGTAAAGTTAACTTACATTCGTAGCCAGCTGGATCTACACTAGCGGTTTTTATGTATGAATCTGGGTGTTGCATACTTCGAAGCAAACCTAACAGAAGGCATTTTTTGTCAAGGTTGTGAAATTCTGGTGCCCCTATATCTAAAAAATTGTAAAAAAATTATTATTGAAAACTTTTAGCCCGTATATACTTTTGATTTTTGTTTAAAACACTGCTAATACACGTGTATACGCGTAATCAATGAAAAACAAATCATTTCCCATAAAAAATACCCTACATTATTTCGCCTATTTCGAATGAAATTTATTAAAATACGTTTAAGAAAGAATAACCGCAGTTTGCTTCAGAACTTTTCTTTGAGATGTTGTTATGGATTTTTTCACTCTAATAGTAGGTAAAACTTTCTTAAACGGTGACCGAATATCAGCTGGTGTTAGCATTGGCTATTCAAAAATCTATGTGGCTAAAAGCTTTACTTGTTCAGGTATGTATATATTAAAAATTTATGATTTGACTGGTACATCAAGTAGAACAGTTATAACTAGAAGTAAGACTAGTACAAATCTACATAAAATATTAATGTATACCTATTGCATGGATAAGTAAATAACTTGTAACTTTTTCTAATATACGTCTTCTCTCTTCTCCAATGAATCATTTTCAAAATCTGTAAAAGTATAAGTTAAAGTGTTTCAAAATAAAAAAAATTTGGTTTATTGGCTTTTACGTCAGTTATTAAATTCCTGCTTAATGCTTACTTTCGTTCGGACCAAGTTGAGACACAGGGATATCTGTATAAAAAAAAACAGAAATTCAATTAGTTTCCACTATACGAAACACATTAATTCAATGGAAAAATGTATACATTAGTTTGAAACATGTTTCAAAGGATTATCAAGACTTGTATAAAATATCATAGTTCGAAGAATTTAAACTATTAAATGTATATTTTTCGAATTTCGTAAAAAAAAAAATATGTTAAACTTTATATTTACCTGTAGCTTGGGATATTGCTTGTTGCACCGCCTCCTGACCAGCTATGGCAATATGTTCTGAAAATATCAAAAATTACTATAAAAGATATTTTCTTTAAGATTAGGAAAAATTGAAAGTTCAGATGTTAAAAAAAAAAAATCACGAGGTACTGAAACAAATAACGTACACAAACAGAATACCTGGTAAGTTGCTAATAAATGAGTCATCTGAAATTAAAGCAATAATATATTATCAAGCTATGTGGATAATTGATTATATGAAAATATGTCCAACATTTTTTTTAAAAAATTTTTAATTCGTAAATTTACAACAATAAGTAATTTGAAAACATAATAATAGACAATTATGACATTAATGACCTCAAATAGGGCTGTTCACTAATGGCACCTTAGGATTTAATATTTTTGTAATTTGTAAAATATTAACTTATCCCATTTTTTTGGTTAGATTTTATATCTAATTTTTATTTTTTAAACATATCTAGAGACTAGTTTCTTTAAAGACAACGATGGATATTGTCAGAAAAATGAACGACATACTTTTCAAATTAAAATCTTTTCAATTAATTATTATTTTCATGTTAATCAAACACGAGGCACTACTTAGATTTGAGCTAGATATCTAAAATCTAAGTAAGTTTCGGAGAGACTTCTATCATTAGATAGTTTGAGTCATAGGAAAAACAAAAAAAAAGCCGCAATCATATCGTTATATAAGAATCTATGTAAGTGATAAAAAATTGTATTACCCGGTATAGCTAACATCACATTAAGTGTCTCTGAAATAGGAATAATATAAATTGATGAGTTAATGATGTTCAATTTTTCTATAACACTATAATTTTATGACTTTTTTCTGGTTCAAACTATATTTTAATTATATTTTTTTGCTACATAATAATGATTACCGAATGTTTTATCTCCTTTATTAATATTTGAAATTGCAGTCTCCAATGTAGTAGGATCTATAAGCAAATAGTGTTAGAGCTATATAAACAATTTCAAATGAATTCATAATAATGCATAAAATACAAAACAATCTTTAAAATAAGAAAATACTTAGCCTTCAATTAACTATTTAACTTTACCCAACCTGTAATGTGATTTAGCAATTTTGTAAAGCCCCAAAAATGATCAATGTAAATTATAGGAATTTTATTCTTTTATGTATAAATAAAAATTATTTGATTTTTGATTTTAGTATTTGTACAGTATTTTGGTATACTGATACTATATACTCCGTTAACTCTTATTCTGAACTGATATAAAAAAAAAACTATAGCTTGTTTTTAGTTTATAAGTCATCTGAAAATAAAAATGTATCTTACCAGCATCGAAAACCTCTTTGATATATTTGTCTGTAATAAATTATTCCAAACTTAAGAATAAATATGATAAAACAAAAAAAAACATGTTGTACTGTATGAAAATGACTGACCTTGAAACGGTACGGAAAAATTTAAATAATTACCTGTCATAATTGGTGAAACGTTGACAATGGCAAGCGTTATTAAAATGCAGAAAAGCTTCATAGTACTGGACAATATTATTGAAATAATAATTCAAATAATATAATTTTTAAGAAAATATGAATTTTAATATATTGTTTTACTTTTGGGGTTAGAGTGTTTTTTCTTGCAACTAGTCGTAAGTTCGGTGTGTTGACGTATAAACCAAAGAAATAAAATTAAAATATAATTCACAGTATGCACAGCGCTGTAATTATTTATAAAAAACGTAAGTGACACTTATTGTTTTTTTTAATATAAAAAAAATAACGTATTCAGGGTGATTTTGTATCGTGGGTAACTCCACATGTCACTGTGTTTCATCAATAGTTTATTATTTTTTTTTTTCATAGTGTGTTCATATAATGTAATCTGAAACACAAGTGTTATTTCCTTACTCTCCTTGAAAGTAGGTTTTTTGATAGCAACTTGGACTAGTCAAAATTTTTAGTAATTTATTCTCTATTTCAAAATTTAATAAAATCAATGAATTACCATTTAGGTTTTAAAAGTTGATATGAAAATAATGAGTTTGGGAGGTGGTAGGAACATTATCATCGTAAAGATATTGTGGTCACGTTATATGAAAACACTATGAAAGAATAATTCAATTATTAAGTAAACCCAATGAGATACTGTGTGGCCCATGATAAAAAACGACCCTGTACATATCTGTTACATTTTTTTTATTTATTGCTATAAATTATTCTCGAATCATATATACTTTAACTGAATTTTGTATACACAGATGTGTTCAAATTATTTTTTCACTAAAATATATTACAATTTTAATAAAATCCCTTATACAATTTTTAGATAATACCTACGTGTTACATTTTCATTTGTACACGTTCAATTTGTTCGCATTTAACAAATATCGTATGGACTATGTGTACCTATGACAAATTAAAAAATTCTGGGATAACACAAGATTATGGTAGTATTTTACCAAAGTGTCGAAAAAATGCGTTATTAACCAAATACATTGCTGTTGGTTTTCGTCAAAACAGCTATTCTGTATAGTACTTCTCTTGTATAAATTTGAAAATTTGAAAACGTTTACCACTATTTTAATACTGTTTCTCATACACAAATAATAACTACTAACAATTATTATCTATGATTAGGCAAACCAAATTCAGAGGTGGTCATGTCTAAAAAAACATAATTACCTCTGCAACATTGTACGATAGCACTATTTTTATTGAAGATTTGGAAGTTTTATGACATTTAATAATAATTCTCAAAAGAAAATATAATCAATTTTTAATAAAATACCGAGTACAATATTCAGGCAATGTCTACGTGTTACAAATTTATTTGTACACGTTTTCTTTTTTAAGTTTAGTAACTTTGGTATCGACTGGGTTTAGCTATGAAAATATAAAACGTTTGGTATTACACATGATTATGCGTATTGAAAAAAGTTTTAACACAAAACAAAAAATAAAATATAAGTTCATTTGTTATTAGTCGCACTAACATATAGTGTAGTACATAACCTACAATACCTAATATATTTTCAAATTTGATAACACTTATTATTATTTTAGTACTATTCCACATACACAAATAATAACTACTAATTATTGTATTATTACTTATGATAAGTCAAAACTATCATGTTTGTTAAAAATATGACCACTTTTATTTCCGTGCAAATTCTCATCTTTTGTGAAAATTAGCTATAATATAACATTTAAGTATTTGTTTAATTAATATTATTTGTACTAACACCATATTATGATTTTTATAAATTGGATATTATTAATTAAATATTTCAAATACTATAACTTACAAGAAAGATAATATGGGTTCTAATAGTTTGTTTGAATTTTTGTTAGGGATTTTATTGCGACTAGTCATTGGGTCAGGGTTCGATGTGTCAACTATGTAGCAGTAAAACTTTAAAGCTAAATTTAATATATTTTCTTTCAGTTGTTGGTTTTATTGTGGTCGGTAAATCTAATGTTTGCATTATACATTTTCAAAAGTTTTATTGAGTATATAATTTAACCGAATATTGTGCCTATTTTCATGTATTATAAGAATTTATAATATTTTTTCATCTTTTTTATAAGATCTTGTTTAGTATAAGCTTTAAGCGATAATGATATTTGAAACACTATAGGAATCTAGGAAAAACTTAAGCAAAAATTGCGGTTATATATTATAAAATATAATAAAGTGTAGACACAGCTATTATATTTTTAAGTTACTGTTTTTCAAATTTTTTTTTTCATTTGTACAGAACTATTTTTAACTTTTAAAACAGCTATCGTAACGACTATTTGAACCAAAGAAAATTTAAAACCTATGATACCTGTTTTTTACACTGCAATGGTCGAAAGCTAATAATATCAAAAGCCTTTAAAAGTAATAAATATCACTGAAAGAAATTGTTTATTTTGTAATACATTGAATTAAATGACAGTTTAGATACAAGTGCGTCATAACATGTATGTAATTAAATTAAAATAACAACATTAGGTGCAATTTACTTTTTTAAAAATAGCTACAAATGACGGTCTGTTTAATGATAGTACGGGAACCAAGAAGCCATCTCTAACAAAACATCTACAGTTTCATAACGGTTAAGACCTATTGGCCTTGCCGCAACAATATAGCCGATATGAGTTCTGTATAGGAATCTGTCATTTTGTGAAATAAGCACACAAAAAACATCATTTGGATCAACAATAACGGTTTTTATGTATGTATCTGGGTGTTTCATACTTCGAAGCAAACCTATTAGAAGGCATATTTCGGCAAGGTTGGGGAATCCTGGTGTTCCTTCATCTTAAACACAAGAAAACGCATATTACTCAAATGGACCTCACAACAGCCTTGTGAGTCAACCTAAGGACTTTGTCAAAGAAGAAATCATAGTATGTAAAGTGTAAACTTAATAAGTCATTGAATGATCTCAAACAAGCTCCTCGTTGCTGGGATAAAAGATTTAATAATATCATAAAATATAAAGGCTTGGTGGAAAATAACTGTGATCAATATTTGTAGATGGAAATGTATAGTAATGTGTGTTTGTTTTTACTACTTTTATGTGGAAAAAGTTTTACATGTGAGCAATAAAAAAGAAAAAATTAAGTTAACTATGTAAAATGAAGTTAAACCATTTCTAGGTGTTAAACTAGAACGCACTAAAAACAAATTGAAAATAAGCCAAATTTATTAATTAATAACCTTATCGTGAGATAATTGGATGTCTAACGTACAAAATAATCGAAATAAGATCACATATAAGCATTTCCATTAATATTATTAAAGGACATCAGTCATAATCGAAAGGCAGTCATTACAATCATATTTAAAGAGCACGACTTTATGTTAAGGGTACTAATGTTGTTAGTCTCATTTACCCAACAAGTGAAGGAGTAAGCTTTTTAAACGGATGCAACAAACTTTGCATTTGACATCAATGATAGAAAGTCCACTTTTGGGTATTAATTTAAAAGATTTGGTTCGACACTATGCTGGTCCACAAGAAAGCAAACGACGGTAATACTTTCTTTAACAGTGACCGAATATCAGCTGGTGTTAGCATCGTTATTCAAGAATCTTTGTGGCTAAAAGGATTACTAGTTGAGGTATGTGTATATTAAAAATGTATGGTACATCAAGTAGAACAATTATAATTAAAGATAAAACTAGTAAAAATCTATCCAAAATAATAATATTTACCTATTGCAGCGATAAGTAATTTTTTTGTAACAAATCCAATTATTTCTCTTCTGGCTCCTCCAAGCTGTGCTAATGAATCATTCTCAAAATCTGCGAAAAATAATAAGCTACAGTGTTTAAAAAAAAAAATTTAAAAAACTAGTTCAATGGATTAAAAACTAAAAATTAAGGGTTATTTACGCCGTTTATTAAAAGTTTGCTTAAATAAAAATTGAATTAATTAAATAAAAATTGGTATATTGGCTGTTACGTCAGTTCATAAATGCATGCTCAATGCTTACTTTCGTTCGGGCCAAGTTGGGGCACAGGGATATCTGTGTAACAAAATATCAAACCTTCAATTACTATCCACTAAAACACACATTAGTTCAATGAAAAAGTGAATACATTGGTTTGAAAAAATTTTAAAAGATTATCAAGACTTGTATAAATATCATAGTATAGATCTAAGAGTTTAAACTATTGAAATAAGTATTTTACGAGTTTGGTAAAAAAAAATTTGTTAAACTTTATATTTACCTGTAATTGGGATATTGCTTGTTGCAATGCCACCTGGTCAGCTATGGCAATATGTTCTAAAAATATACAAAAAATTACTAAATAAGATATTTTCTTATGACAGAAATTATAATAAATTAGATTAGTAAAAATAAAGTTCCCGTGTTAATAAAATTAAAAAAAAACACAAGGTACTGAACCAAATAACGTATAGTATATGCAAACAGATTACCTGGTAAGTTGCTAATAAATGAGTCATCTGAAATTAAAACAAAAATATGTATACAAGCTATATGGATAATTAATTACATGAAAAGATGTCCAATACCTATTTTTTTATTTTTTTATTTGTAAATTTATAACAATAAGTTAATTTGAAGACATAATAACAGAAACTTATAACTTTAATGACCTCAAAGAGGGGCTGTTCACTAATGGCACCTTAATTTGTAAAATATTACCTCATTCCATTACTTTAGTTAGATTTTATTTCTAATTTTTATTTTTTAAACAAATCTCGAGACTAGTTTCTTTATAGACAACGTTGGATATTGTCAGAAAAATGAAAGACGATAAATATTTCAAACTAGAATTTTTTCAATGAAAAATTATTATTACAAAAAAACTTTAATTATATCGTTATATAAGAATCTATGTAAAGTATTAGTAGTAAATAACAATTGGTACCATGTTCAATTGTAAACCAGTAATTTGCTTTGTCTGAAATTAAAACGAAAATATGTTATGCCCAAATAAGTTATTAATTATTATCAAGCAGCTATGTGGAAATAGGTCCAATAAGTGGTAAAAAATGTTATTACCCGGTATAGCTAACATCGCATTAAGTGTCGCTGAAAAAGGAATAATATAAATTGATGAATTAATGATGTTCAATTTTTCTATAACACTATAATTTTATCATTTATTTCTGGTAGCCATTTATATTTTCATTATATTTTTTTGTTACATAATAATGATTACCTATTGTTTTATCTCCGTTAATAATATTTGAAATTGCAGTCTCCAATATAGTAGAATCTATAAGCAAATAGTGATAGAGCTATTTACACAATTTTAAATAAAATCATAATAATGTATAGAATTATACATACAAATCTTCAGAATAAGAATATACTTAGCTTTAAGGTAACCATTTAAGATTAGTCTACTCAACCGTTTATTTGGATCAGTAATTTTTTAAGTCCCAAAATTGTTCAATGTAAATTTTAGGAATTTTACTCTTTTAAGTATAAATATAATTGGCTCGATTTTCTTTTTCATTTTAGTATTTATACAGTATTATTTAATATACTGGTAGTATATAAGCCATTAACTCATATTCTGAACTGATATAAAAAAAAACTTTAGCTTGTTGTTAATTTATATATCATCTGAAAATAATAATATATCTTACCTCTATCAAAAACCTCTTTGATGTATTTGTCTGTAATAAATTATTCCAAACTTATGTAAAAATATGATAAAATAAATAAAAATGTCGTACCGTATGAAAATTTAATACTGACTTGTAGTGTAAACTGAATTTGCATAGTCCGCTATAGGAAATAATTAAATATTGAATTTTCTATTCAGTTTTTTAAACACTTAAAAAGGTATGTGGAAAAATTAAATAATTACCTGTCATAATTGGCGCAACGTTCACAATGGCAAGCGTTATTAAAATGCAGAGAAGCTTCATAGTGCTGGATAATATTTTTGAAACGATTCAATTAATATTACTTATAAAAAAAAATGAATTCTAATATCTTGTTTTACTTTTTGTGTTATAGTGATTTAACTAGTCGCAACGTCACGTCGATGTGTCCACAACTGAAGAAGCAAAATTAAAATATTTTTTATAGTATGCACAGCGCTATTATAATTTATAAAAAACTTAAGTGAGACTAATTGTTTTTTAATATAAAAAAATAACGTATATAGGATGATTTTTTATCGTGGGTAACTCTACATCTCTCTGTGTTGAATCAATAGTTTAATAATTTTTTCATTATGTATTCATATAATGTAATCTGAATTTTCCACGAGTGTTAATTTCTTACTTTCCTTGAAATTAGGTTTTTTGATAATAGCTTGAACCGTCAAAATTTGTAGTATTTTATTCTCAATTTCAAATATTAATAAAATCAATGAATTACCATTTGAGTTTCAAAAGTTGATAGGAAAATAATCAGTTTGTGATGTGGTAGGAACATTATCATTATAAGGAAATGGTGGTCAAATTATATGAAAAAATAATTCAATTATTAATTAAACTCAGTGGAATATTGTGTGGTCCATGATAAAAAATGACCCTGTACAAACTATTATGTTATAAAAACATTAAAAGTTTTTATTTTCGTTCAAATTCTCTTTATTAAAAAAAAATATAATAATATAACATTTAAATATTTGTTTAATTTACATTGTTTGTACTAACACCGTATTATGATTTTTAAAAGTTTCATAATGTTGGATATTATAAATTAGATATTTTAAAAAATGTAACTTTTAAGAAAGATAGCATGTTGTCTAATAGTTTTTTTCATTTGCTGTTAGGGATTTTATTGCGTCTAGTCGTTTGGTCGGTGTTAGATGTGTCAACCAAAGTAGTAAAACTTTAGAGCTAAATTTAATATACTTTTCATTTTAGTTATTGGTTTTACGGTGGTCGGTTTGTGAAAAATATATTTTAATATATTGTAACATTTAAATATTGTTTGTACTACCAACATATTATGATTTATATAATTATTTGGTATTTTAGCATATTAAACGTTATCGTTACAGTAAAACTACTCCGGTCCACCATTATAGTATATTAACGTCCATTACTAATCTACCTAACTTTTTAAAATTTCAATTTGTGATTGGTAAGATTCATAAAAACAACTCTAAAATTTTAATCTGTAGTTTTAAATTATATAATCTAATTATTTTTTGTTTTATATTTTTAATAAAAATAGGGTAACATAAAATGGCAATATGGATAATGGAGAGATGGAAATATAATGTCCGTTATGTGAGGTATATTTGTATGTTATTAATTCATCCTAACTTCTCCTAGTTCTATTATTACTCTAAAGTTATTAATTATACAATATTTCCACGTACTTTGTCTTTTTCCAGCGATGATGTAGAAGTTTTATCTGACGTTAATGATGTTGATTTAATTAAACACTTTTTCTGTACGAATGATATGTTATTGTACGTCTCTACACTTATAGTCTTTAAAAAGTAACGATATTTTTACCGTTATGATTGGTAATCTATATTTATGCAATTGACCTAACTTAACCGTGATCATATCGACCAGTTTATTAGATTAACAATTTTTATTTGCTGTATTTTCAAGTACTTAACGGCTCTCGAAGTCCACAGAGTTTAAGACTATACAGCCGTCTTAGGTCCTTTAAATCTAGTGGCTTTTTCGATTCGCCCAGCTACGACCGAAGTCACAATAAGATTGTGATTAATTTCCAAGCAGTAATGGTGCAAGGCTGCAAAAGCTTCCAAACAACACCACAAGGCTGTTAATACTTCCAAGATACCTCCTACGGTTGAATAATAGTTGTCTATTGACAGATTGCGATTATAGAAATAAGAAAGATAAAAAAAAAATAGAAGACTGGGGAAATAAATAAAATAAATAATAACTCTTAAATTTTTGATGATGATAAACTTGCAAAGTACTAAACAGAAATCACATAAGGAATAATTATCAGGTCAAAAATGTAGAAAAATAACAGTTGAAATTTAATATTGTGTTTGAATATGTAGGTGAAAAAATTGCCTTTATTTTTGTGAAAAAAAATGTAACATTTAAATATTTATTTTATCAGTATTAATTGTACTAATATCATATTATAGAGATTTTTTAAATTATAAGATAATTTATCATATCCAACGTCTATCATATTGAAAATGTATAATGTAACTATCCAGAACTGGTTATCGACCAGTCAAAATACTCAGCAAATTATTTTAAAATAATAAAACAATTAAAATAAATTGAATTAAGAAAGTGGTGTTTATAGCGCAAATCAGTATAAATTAATTTAAAAAAAAAGTCTTAAAAATATTCACTATAACCAAAGTTGTTTCATTTGCCAAATCTTTCTGGACACTCTGTATTTTGATCTTTTAAGTGGGGTTTTAAGCATGAACAAGTATAGGGACTTAAATTTGGTATCGTTTTGAAATTTCATTTGTGTAATATTAATACAACTAAAATCAAACTTATTTTATAAAATAATATTAATTATTGTTTAATTTCTAAGGTAAATATTATATTGTATCACAAGTGGTTTATAGTATTAAAACATATCAATGAAAGAAATTGTTTAATTTCTAATACATTGACTTAAATGAAAATTTAGATACAAGTGTGACATATAAATATTATTAAAGTAAAAAAACAACAGTATGTGCAGTATAATTTTTAAAATCAACTACGATTGATATTTTACATGAACCAATTCTGTATATCATTGAAAACGTGTCCAATACTTTCATAAACATTAGGAACCATTTGCCTCACCAAAGCATAATAGAGGTCAGGTATGTATTGGAATCTGCCATTTTGAGAAGTTAACGTACAAACAAAATTGTCTTGATCAACAATAGCCGTTTTTATATATGAATCTGGGCTTTGCATACTTCGGAGCAAACCTATTAGACGACATATTTCGGTAAGATTACGGAATCTTGGTGTTCCTTTACCTTAAAAATTATAAAAAAAAAATGGTTTTTTAAAACTTGTCAATCTTAACTTATATACTCGTATCTATATTTATTTTTAGCATTATAACAGAAAAATAATGACATTGCCCATAAAAAACCTCTATAATATGTAACAATTATTATGCAATGAAATTTATTAAAATAAATTGCAGAAAGAATAGCCGCAATTCTAATACGCAACTATTTTTATCGCGATTTTGTTTTTATTCATTTAATTTTTATTTATACAATCTAATACAATTTAGAACAATAAGCATAATAGATGTAGTATTTACAAAGAGTAGATTGTCAGAAAAAAAGCCTCCCAATATGGGATCTACGACAAAGTTAAATAAAGACATATTTCAAATTTTTTATTCTATATAACTAGCAGATTAGGATAACAAAATTTAATTGACTTTAATGTGTACTATTCTTGTTTTGATCTTCAATCTTTTCGATATCTTGCAAAATTATTCATTTAAAAAGACATTGCACAAGCGACTGATCAAAAAAGTTTAAATTGACAATAAATGAATAAAACAAATAAGGTTTAATCATAATGCTATTATTAGTTGTATGTTAGAATAACCTAGTAAAATCAATGTTGTGTGAGTTCTATGCCTACATGTATTGTTATATTATTAGTGATATAATAATAAAATATATTGTTGATACAGCATTCGTAAATGAAGTCAATAATTAAAGAGCTATATCTGGGTAATTATTTAAAATACTTGGAAAGACAGTATTCTGGTCTACTATGGAGCAAACGTCGGAATACTATCCAAGAAGGCTATTCAAGAATCTATGTAGCTAAAAGCTTTATTTGTTGAGATGTGTATAAATTATAAATGTATTATTGAATGGTATATAAAATAGAATAATTATATTTAAATGTAAAACTAGGACCAATCTACACAAAAATGTTAATATTTACCTATTGCAGCGATAAGTAAATTTTTTGTAACTTTTCCAGTTATACTTCTTCTCTCTTCTCCGAGCTGTATCAATGAATCATTCTCAAAATCTGTTAACAAAAATAAGTTACAGCGTTTTAAAAATTGGTTTATTAGCTTTGAAACTAAGACCTCTGGGCTATTCACATAAGTTATTAAATACTTGCTTACTTTGGTTCGGGCCAAGTTTAGGCACAGGGATGGCTGTATAAACATAATAAAAAACACACATATTATAATCAATGTAAAAATGTATACATTGGTTTGAATTACGTTTCAAATGATTATCAAGACTTGTTATAAAAAATATAATATAGCTCTGTAACTTATAGCTATTATAATATATTTTTCGAATTTGGAAAAAAAAAAAATATGTTATGCTTTATATTTACTTGTAACTTGGGAAATTGCTTCTTGCACTGCCACCTGATCAGCTATGGCAATATGTTCTGAATTACAAAAAAATACTATAAAAAATATTTATTATGACAGAAATATAACATATTTTTTAAAAAGTTCCCATATGGATAAGTTTCCATGTTAATTAAAAAAAAAATAAAAATCACAAGCTACTTAAACAAAAACTATAATAATTGTATAAGAAACAAGTGTCAGGAGTATAAAATATATTATACAATCAGATTACCTGGCAAGTTCATAATAAATGAGTCATCTGAAATTAAAACAAAAATATGTTAACAATCTATGTGGATAATAAACTTAGTGTAAATGTGTTCGAAAATTTTTTTTTAAAAGAATATTTGATGCATGACACATGACATAAATGATCTGAAAAAAGGGCCCTTCACTAACGGAACGTCAGAATCAAAAATATTTGTAATTTGTAAAACATTAAGTCTATACCCAATTATTGTTAGTTTTTATTTATAATTTCTATTTTCCGAATAAATCTCGAGACCCGTTTCTTTATAGACGACGTTGGATGTTGTCAGAAAAATGAAAGAGAATACAATTAATGTATTAAACCAGAACTTTTTCAACGAAAATTTATATTTTCCCATGTTAATTAAACGAAAAAAACACGTGGTATCATTTAAGTATTAGTAGTATTTAACAACTAGTTACCATGATCGATACTGAAAATATTTGCTTTTTCTGAAATTGAAACAAATACATGTTATGCCCAAATTAGTTATTAAATATTAACAATCAACTATGCGGGAATACGTCCAACAAGTGATAAGAAATATTGTTACCTGGTATGGCCAACATTAAACTTATTACATCTGGAATAAGTATAAGATATATTAATGAATTAATGATGTTCGATTTTTTATAACACTTCTTTTCTGGTAGCAGTTTGTATTTTAATTATTTTTTTTTTTTTAAATAATAATGATTACCAAATGTATTATCTCCGTAAATAATATTATAAATTGCAGTTGCCAATGCATCAGGATCTATAATCAAATATCGGCTTAAGCTGGATACAACATTTCAAATAAAATCATAATAGTGATTCATAAACATCATTAGAACATAATCCACCTGTTATGTTAAAGGGGTATTTAGGATGGCCCAATTTCAATGCTGCAGAGACATACGAGTTCTTTGGCAACTTTTTTTATGCAGTTTAATAATTAAAAATGAAAATCGAATTCCTAAAAACATAATATTGTAGCCAAAAAACTGGAATCTTTTTGCAGAATTAAAATTGGACTATCCTATGTGGTCGAAATTTGCCAGGCTTTTTGGTCTAAAATAAACCAAAGTGGCTAATACTCATAGAATAAAATATTTTAATTAAATATAATACCCTGGAGTTTGTATAAATTAACGGGTAAATTAATTGACTTTGTCGAAATTTATTAAAACCAATTTTTTCTTAAACGTTAGAGCTATGCAAATGTGCTTATAGACCGCATGCAGTTTACTTAGATAGTAATTTTGTATAGCTTAGTATGTTCTATGTAGATTATAGGAATTGTCTTTTTCAGTATATACACACTTAACTTTACTTTACTCAACCGTTTATTCGAATTAGTAATTTTGTAAGGCCCAAAAAATGTTCAATGTGAATTTTACTCTTTTAAGTACTTATAAATATAAATTATTCGATTTTCTTTTACTATTTAGTATTTATACAGTATTGTTTGGTACACTGGTACTACATACCCCGTTCAATTATATGCCGAACTGATATAAAACAAAAACTTATAGCTTGTTGTAAATTTATATATCATCTGAAAATAATAATTTATCTTACCTCTATCAAAAACCTCTTTGATGTATTTGTCTGTAATAAATTATTTCAATCTAACGTATTAAAATAATAAAAAAAAAAAAATGTTTTATCGTACGAAAATTTGGTACAGACTTGTAATGTAAACCGAATTTGCATAGTCCGCTATGAGAAATAATTAAATATTAATATTTCTATTGAGATTTTTAACTACCTTGCAAAGGTACGTGTAAAAATTAAATAATTACCTGTCATAATTGGCGCAACGTTCACAATGGCAAGTGTTATTAAAATGCACAGAAGCTTCATAGTGCTGGATGATATTAATTAAGCAATTCAAATAATATAATTTATAAGAGAAATAAGATTTCTAAAAGTCTGTATTACTTTTTCTATCGGCGTGTTCAACAATATGTATTATATAAAATATATTTTGCAGTATGCAGAGCACTAAAATAATTTATACAAAAATTAGCGACACTTGTGGTTTTTGTTATAAAATAAAAACATATACGGGGTGATTTTTTATGGTGAGCAACTCTACATCTCACTTTATTTAATTAACAATTTAATAATTTTCGTTTTCTTATAATTTAAACTCAATTTTCCACAAATTGTTATTTTCTATCTCCTTTCAAATTAAGTTTTTCGATAGTTACTTGAACCGTCACAATTGTAAGTATTATGTTCTCAATTTAAAAATTGAATAAAACGTATTCGTTACCATTCAAGTTCCAAAAGGTGGTATGAATATAATCAGTTTTGGAGGAGGTAGGAATATTATCATTATAGGGAAATTGTGGGCGCATAACATGAAATTACTAGTAAAAAATATTTGAATTATTAGGTTAAGACCAGTTTAACCAAATTCGGGCCCATAATAAAAAATGACCTTGTACATAATATCTGTTCAATTTTTTTATTTATTGCCTTCAAATTATTCTCGAATCATATATACATTAACTGAATTTTGTATACACAGATGTGCTCATATTTTTTTTTTCATTTAACCATATAATTATTTTTTCAAAAAAATGTATGAAATTTTTAATAAAATCCCGTGTACAGTTTTTAGATAATACATACGTGTTACATTTTTATTTGTACACGTTCTATTTTATCACATTTAACAAACATCGTATCGACTATGTGTACTTATGTAAATTAAAAACGTCTGCGATGACACAAGAATAGTAGTAGTTTACCAACGTGTCGAAAAAAAGCGTTTTTAAATAAATATATTGTTGTTTACTTTTAGTCAAAACTGTTATTCTGTACAGTACAATTCTTATATAAATTTAAAAATTTTAAAACGTTTAACACTGTTTTAATACTAATTCACATACACAAAAATAATGACTACTAATAATTATTATCTATGATAAGTCAAAGCAATTGTAATTATGAAATACATAGTAACTTATATCTCCGTGCATAAATTCCAACTTGTTATTTGATGGCGTGGAAGTGAATAGAATTTTCATGGAAAATAATAATAACGAGACAGAGGTTGTCCATGTCCAAAAAATAATTTACCCTTGCAAACATTGCACTATAGCACTATTTTAATTGAAGAATTGGAAGCTTTATATTGTTATTTGTTTTTGGTCTCTCTACTATTCTGTGTGGTACATTAACTAAGTTTATTTTAAATTTGATAACATTTAACACTATTTTAATACTATTCCATACAACCAAATAATAACTACTAATGACTGGTATTTTTAATTATAATAAGGATAAATCTCAGAAATGCCTGTCACTCGGATTACACTATTGTAAATTAGTTTTCTTTTTTTGTATAATATAATTTATACAGTAAGTAAATTCAGTAAGTTGATGTATTCATTTTTTTTTAATATTGATAATAAATACAAATTTATGTTGTACTTTATTTACTTTAATAATAAAGTAAATTGTTATACATTCGTTTATATATATATATATATATATACACCTAAAAACTGTTAAGGTTATAATAAACTATTGAGTTATGGAGTTATTGTTATGGATTTAGTTTTTTATTATTTATATTTTTATTTATGCAGTTTGCTACAATGTAGAACAATAAGGATAATATATGTAATATTTACAAATGGCAGATTGACAGAAAAATGTTGTACTTTATTTACTTTAATAATAAAGTAAATTGTTATACATTCGTTTATATATATATATATATATATATACACCTAAAAACTGTTAAGGTTATAATAAACTATTGAGTTATGGAGTTATTGTTATGGATTTAGTTTTTATTTATTTATATTTTTATTTATGCAGTTTGCTACAATGTAGAACAATAAGGATAATATATGTAATATTTACAAATGGCAGATTGACAGAAAAAAGAAGTCATCCACTGGAGGGACGGTCTTAATTAATGATACCAAAATATTATAGATTTCAATAAGCTATATATGTAACGATACGAAAATTTATAACGAGTGTGGACCTAAAAACCGACCTCATGGAAAGGTAATTGATATAAAACAAATGTCAAGGGTTTAATTGTTTCAAAACAAATAATGTATTAAACATAATAACTGTATATGTATATATATATATATATATATATATCGACAGTAAATTATCCTTGTTGAGATGAGACAATGGACGATAGTAGTTAAGTTGTGAGCTTAAACATTTTTGATTAGCTAAAGGAATTGTGGTTGACTGTACTATTCTCTAATAGAATAATTATAATTAAAAGTAAAACTAGTACCAATCTACACAAAATATTAATATTTACCTATTGCATCAGTAAGTAATTTTGTTGTAACTTTTCCTAATATAAGTCTTCTCTCTTCTCCAAGCTGTCCCAATGAATCCTTCTCAAAATCTGTAAAAAAAAGTTAAAGCATTTACATTTTTTTTTTATTGGTTAATTGGCTTTGAAACTAAGACCTTAGGACTATTTACATCAGTTATTGAATACTTGCTTACTTTCGTTCGGGCCAAATTTAGGCACAGGGATGGCTGTATAAAAATAGTAAAAAACACACATATAATTTATGTAAAAATGTTAACATTGGTTTGAACTGTATTTCAAAGGATTATCAAGACTTGTATCAAAAAACATTATAGAGCTCTATGTCTTAGAAATATTATATTTTTCAATTTTGGTAAAAAATGTTAAACTCTATATTAATTACTTGTAAACTGTGATATGGCTGCTTGCACTGCCTCTTGACCAGCTATGGCAATATGTAATAAAATACAAAAAATACTATATAATATATTTTATTATGACAGAAATGATAATAAATTTTATATTGAGAAAAATTAAGAGTTCCAATGTTAACCAAGTAAAAAAAAAATCACAAGCTACTTAAACAAAAACCGTATAATATTAACAAATATGTTACCTGGTAATTTCATAATAAATGGTTCATCTAAAGTTAAAACAAAAAAAAAGTTATCAAACTATGTGGAAACATAACTATGTATGTACTAATTAACTGCAAATAGTAAATTTGATGACATAACATGTACACACCTGACATGAATGACCTGAAAAAGTGCCTGTTCACTTAAGAAACGTCAGGATTCAGTATTTTTGTAATTTATAAAATATTAAGAATATACCCATTATTTTGTAAGATTTTATTTATAAGTTTTATTTTATGAATAAATCTCGAGACCAGTTTCTTTATAGACGACGTTGGAAGTTGTCAGAAAATAACACATTTAAAAATATAAAAATATTTTAAACTAAAATTTTTCCAATAAAAATCTAATATTTTTCATGTTACTTGAACGAAAAAACACGAGGTACTACTTAGATTTGAGCTAGAGTTTTAAAATCTAAAAGGGGTTTTTTTTTTGGTAGACTTCTATTAATTGAAAATGTGAGCCATAGGAAAAATAAAAATACATTATAGGAATCTGCGTAATGAATAAATAGTATAAAACAATTAGTTTCCATGATTAATTCTGAAAATATTTGTTTTTTCTGTAATTAAAACGAAAACATATATTGCCCAAATTAGTTATTAATTATTATCAAGCAACTATTTGGAAAAACGTCCAATAAGTGATAAGAAATATTATTACCCGGTATAGCCAACATCAAATTAAGTGTCTCTGAAATAATAATAATAAAAATTGATGAATTTTTTTTATCACTACAAGTTTAACACTTTTTTTGTGTAGCAATCTATATTTTAATTATTTTTTTCTTCATATATATAATGATTACCAAACGGTTTATCTCCGTTAATGATATTTGAAATTGCAGTCTCCAATCCAGCAGGATCTATATGTAAATAGTTGTTTAAGCTATATACACAATTTCAAATGAAATCATAATAATGTATAAAATTATACACAAAAATCTTCAGATCAAGAATATTCTTAGCTTTAAGGTAACTATTTAACTTAACTCTACTCAGCCTGTTATGTGAAAGAGGAATTTTGTATAGCCCAAAAAATGTTCTATGTAAACTATAAGAACTTTAATCTATTGAGTGTATTGATTTTCTTTTTCAATTTAATATATATATATACAGTATTATTTGGTATACTGTTGCTAAATACCCCGTTCACTTAGATTCTGAACTGATATAAAAAAAAAAACTATTGCTAAACAAGCATGTATGTATCTTACTTGTATCAAAAGCCTCCTTTATGTGTTTGTCTGTAATTAATTATTACAAACTTATGTTACATCATATGAAAATTTGGTACTGACTTGTAATGTAAGCCGAATTTGCATAGTGCGCTATGATGAAGAATTAAGTGTTAAATTTTCTGTTTAGATTTTTAACTACCTTTAAAAGGTATGTGGAAAAATTATATAATTACTGGTCATTTTTGGTGAAACGTTGACAAAGGCAAGCGTTATTAAAATACAGAGAAGCTTCATAGTGCTGGACAATATAATTGAAACAATTCAATTAATACAACTTATTAAAAAGATATGAATTATAATACCGGGTTTTACTTTTTGTGTTACAGTGATTTCCTTGCAACTCTAGTCATAAGGTCGGCGTGTCGATATGTCAACCAAAGTAGTAACACTAAAATAATATTTTTCAGTATACATAGCACTATAATAAAATACCGAGTACAATATTCTATCAATGTCTACGTGTTACACAGTCATTTGTACACATCTTTTTTACACTTAAACAACAGCTATCGCATGGGCTATGTGTACATATGAAAATTTGAAACCACCGGGAAAACGCAACATTATATTTTTTCACCAGAGTCACAAAAAACATCTTTTAGAAAAAAAGTTTAAACACGAAAGCAAAAATGTAAAATATAATGTTTGTTTTTGATCACACTACCATTCTGTATATACAGGGTCATTCACAGTTTCTGTAACAGCGGAAATTTCGATGAAATACTTACACTGGGCAAAAAATACCTAATAAAAATATTTGTTTAACTTACATGTTGCTTAATATTTTAATTTTCAAAAGTGTTTAACCTCAAAATTAAGGGGAAGTACCTTAATTACCTAACTAGATACAATGCTCTTAATTGGAAATTGGGAGAAATGTTTATACGCAGATATTATGCTTTTTATTTATTTTTTTTTTTTAAGTTCCCTGACAAGGTCATCTAAACTTATTGTTAATATAATTTACATTTTTAGCGTTTGGAAAATAAATAACATATTTATGACAATATATATGTATATACATGGTGATTACTTACGACGTTTAACCGATACCGTGTGGTTAACATTAGAGATATTATGCTACGACTGTCAATCGAACAGAAAACCTTCATAATAATTTACAATCATAAAATTGTTATTATTGATGTTACTTAGTTAGAGTTGTGTGATCTGAAGATACTAGTTCAAAGATAGGACTTCAAGGATAAATAATATGGATCGATTGCGTATCCATTGCGTCAAGTCTATATCTATGAAATGATAGGTGAAATATCTCTTTAACTTGTAAGCAACACCTAGTAATATACACTTATATCCACATCTTTAATTTGATTTATTTAATAAATTATTCTTACCTTAAACATTAGAAATACAATTTTTATTGACCAAAAGAACTGGATAATTGCTGTTACAATCAAATTTGTCTAAACAAATTAAGAGGAGAGACAGTACTAATAGTCACTTACCTAGAAAATCTACTACCAATTATAAATTTATTATTTGAGTAGTAAATTATAGTGAAGGCTTTGATTATATTAACACTTATGCGCCTGTCTTCAACCATAGTGACTGTTGGCACATTACTGGCACTAGCAGTACACAATAATTTATGAAGTTACAATATAATATTATACTGTATTGTGGGCAGATAATGTTATTATTTCAATTTTATACCTTACAATACAATGGATATAATTTAATAAAATCACAAGTGGTTAAGTGTATTAAAGAAATAATTGTTTATTATGTAACACATTAAATTAAATGACAATTTAGATACAAGTGCGACATATAAATATTATTAAAGTAAAATAACAATAGTAGGTGCAATATAATTTTTGAAGAAACTGGCTACCATTGATGGTCTGTTTTACAGGAACCAATTCTGTATCTCTCTCAAAAAAACCATAAATTCAACACGATAAGGATCTATTGGGTTTACTTCATCAATTAAGCCAATATCAAGATGTTGGATTCTGCCATTTAGCGAGGTAAACATACAAAAAATACCAGCGGGATCAACAAAAACGGATTTTATATATGAATCTGGGAATCGCATACTTTGGAGCAAACCTATTAGATTGCAAATTTCGTTAAGGTTGGGAAATCTTGGTGCTCCAGCATCTTAAAAATTATAAAAAAAAATGTTTTTAATTACTTGTCAATTTTAGCTTATAACTACTTTTATTAACCGTTCAAATTATTTTATGTAACCTATTTTTAAATAAAATTTAATAAAATACATTTGAGAAAGAATAACCGCAGTTTGCTTTAGAACTTTTTTTATTGAGACATTGTAAAGGATTTTTTTCTCTCTTTAATTTTTATTTGTACAATCTTATACAATTTAGAACAACAAGCATAATAGACGTTATAATTAAAAAGAGCAGGTTGACAGAAAAAGAAAGCCACACCCGCTGGACACAAAGTTAAATAAAGTTATATTTCAAATTTGTTTGCTAGATAACGATACACATCGTTTTATTGAATTCAATGGGTACTATTCTTGTTCTGAACTATAATCTCTTGGATATCTTGCAAAATCATTGATTTAAAAAGACATTGCACAAGCGAAGGATAAAAAAAAATTAAAAAATGACATTAAATGAACAAAACAAACAAGGTCTAATCATAATACTACCAATAGTTATATGTTAGAATGCGATTCTAGAAAAACCAATTCTATGTATCGTGTAAGTTCTATGCCTAATTGTATTTTGATATTATTATTGATATAACATTATCATAAATCTATAATATACTAGATTATTGATATGTTCATACAGAATTCATAGCTAATGAAGTCAATAATATAAGATCCACCTTTGGTAATTATTTAAAACAAGTTTGATAGACAGTATGCTGGTCTACTAGAAAGCAAACGACGGTAATACTTTCTCAAACAGAAGCATTGGCTACACAAGAATAAATGTGGATAAAAGATTTACTTGTAGAGATGTGTATAAGTTATAAGTGTATTATTTGAACGGTACTTTAAATAAAATAATTATAATTAAAAGTAAAACTAGTAGAAATCTACACAAAAAATTAATATTTACCTATTGCAGCGATAAGTAATTTTTTTGTAACTTTTCCTGTTATACGTCTTCTCTCTTCTCCAAGCTGTACCAATGAATCATTCTCAAAATCTGTGAAAAAATAACTGAATTAAAAAATTGTTTTTTTGGCTCTTAAACTAAGACTTTAGAGTTATTGCGTCAGTTATTAAATACTTGCTTACTTTCGTTCGGCCCAAGTTGAGGCACATGGATTTCTGTAAAAACAATTTAATTATTTTCTAGTAAAAACACACACATTTACCTAATCAATGTAAAAATGTATAAATTGGTTTGAATTGTATTTAATAAACTCTCAAGACTTGTATCAAAAAACATTAATGGCTACATGATTTTGAACTATTATCATATATTTATCGAATTTAACTAAAACTGAATAATTATGAATTTTGAAAATTGTCCAAAAAAAATTTGAAACTTTATATTTACTTGTAACTTGGTATATAGCTTCTTGCACTGCCACCTGATCAACTATGGCAAG